TCCCGGTGAAAACCAGCTTGGGACAGAGAGAAGACCCCAGATTTGAGGGGACGGTGAAGGCAGCGAGCGGTGAGTCCCCCGGTGTGACCGGGGCTTTCCTCGGGCTTTGCCGGCCCCCCAGCACCCGGCTGAGCCCCCTCACGTGCGGAGTGGGCTAGGCTGGGGGCCGGGGTGGGCTCCTCCGGCTGCCCAAGGGGCTGCCTGGTGCGGGGGAGAGCAGGAGATGGCAAGTAGGGGCACCCAGGGTTGTGCTCGGGGCTCATCTGGGGTGCAAACCCCCCGTGGTCCCGGGGGACATCAGCTGTGGGTGCCCCAGGGGGGAAGCACCCGTTTCCTCGCACCGAGATGACCGGGAGTGTGCTTCCTCATGGTGTGTCCCTCCTTCCTCCCCGTGAGGACCCCCAGGACCACCCCAGTGTCCCCTAGCTCCTCCAGGGTCAGGAGGGGAAATGGGGTGCTGCTTGTTCCCCCAGCCGAGCCGGCTGTGGGGTACACGCGGGTGGGGGATACCCAGTCCCAGAGGAACCATCGGGATTTTGGAGTGGGGAGGCAGAAAGAAGCAGCCAAAAATAGATGGAGAGGAAGCACTAGTATTCGGCTCTGCCCCGTGCCAGTGGTGGCCCCTCTCAGGGGAACCTTTCCCCATTGGCACTGGCCGTGTCTCCGGCTACGGTCCTCTGAGATGCTGGAGCATCACCATCCCGGGATCACCGCAGCAGCGAGGCTGGCAGAGCCAGGGAGGGATTTTTCCAGGCAGGGGCACCGGTCCAGCTGCAGTGGGGGGAATCCCCACCAGGGAGGAGGGGAAAGGTAGTCCCAGGGAGGGTTTGGGTTCAAACGGGACCAGTTCAGTCCCCCCCCCCAGCACTGTGGGGCCTCAGCATCCTCAAGCAGCCCTGGCATCGCCAAGCCTTAGAGGGGCTCAGGGGCTCAGAAACGGGGCAGAGGGATGAAACTGGCGTGAAATAAGAGTCTGGTTCCATACTGGGAGAAGGCTGAAACCCAAGGTTCTTCGGGGAGGCAGGGACAGAGCACGGAAGTGGTGTCCTATGCGTGAGGAGACAGGAAGAGCGACTGTCACCTGTGATTTCCCCATCACGGCTGAGCACAGGGGACACGGGGATGCCCGGCAGTGCCCGGCTGACCAACAGGAAAACCAGAGACGTAAAATATTTCCAAAGCCGCTTGTAAAGGGTGACACGTCTTTCCGTCTGGGGGGTGAAACTGCTCACACACGGACAGAACTGGGAGGGGAAGAAAGGCACGAAACCACCTTCAGACCTTCTCAAGTCCCTGCCTGCCCCAGGCACTGTGACCGCAGTCTTGCTGCTGGCCAGGGTGGCAGGAGGGGCAGCGCCAGCAGTGATGCTCGAGGGGATGAGGAGGCCAGAGCGATCCAGAGATGCTCAAAGGAGTTTGGAGGTGCCCCAGGGGCCCTGAGATGCCCCAAAAATTCAGAGGCTTTGGAAGGACCCACACAAACCGGGGGGACCCAGGGATGCTGGAGGGGCCAGGTGCCTCCTGGAGGGAGGTGATGTTGCATTGATGGGGAAGCCCCCCCAAGTCCGAGACAAGGTGGCCAGTCCATGGGGGAACTCCTTCCTCCATGGGGGACAGGGAAGGGACAGGGTTTGGATGAAGTGGAGCAGACCAGAGGTGCTGGGGTTATTGTACAAGGGGTTGTATGAGGGCCAGTGTCCACCTGCAGCACTGCCCATTACCTAGCACAGCATGTACGCAGGGTATGGTGAAGCGATGGAGGGGAGCTGCCCACTGCCTGGGAGGGAATCTGGGGGACAATGGAGATGCCAGAGGACCCAGAGATGCTGTCACCCCTGGCCCACACCACCCTCCCACCCCACACTCATGCTGCTTTGTGCTCCTCAGGCAAAATGGAGTCCTTCTCCTTCAGTGGGGATTTCTCCAACCTCTTGTCCCTCTACAACTACACCTATGACTACAGCACGGCCATGCCCGACACTGCTATCTCCTCTGCCCCATGCCGGCCTGATGGCTCCACCCTCAACAAGTACCTGGTGGTGCTGATCTACTGCGTCGTCTTCATCCTCAGTGTGGTGGGGAACAGTCTGGTGGTGCTGGTGGTGACCTCCAGCCACACCAACCGCTCCGTCACTGATGTCTACCTGCTCAACCTGGCTGTGGCCGACCTGCTTTTTGCCCTCAGCCTGCCACTCTGGGCTGCCTACCGAGCCCATGAGTGGGTCTTTGGCACTGTGATGTGCAAAGCTATCTCCATGCTGCAGGAGGCCAACTTCTACAGCGGCATCCTGCTACTGGCTTGCATCAGCGTGGACCGCTACCTGGCCATCGTCTACGCCACCCGGGCCGCCACCGAGAAGAGGCACTGGGTGAAGTTTGTCTGCCTGGGCATCTGGGTCTTCTCCGTGCTGCTCTCCCTGCCTGTGTTACTCTTCCGTGAGGCTTTCCCCTCACCCAGCAACGGCACTGTGTGCTACGAGCGCATCGGTGGTGAG